GCCCGACCAGTGTGGCTCAGTGGTTGAGCATCGACCCATGCACCAAGAGGTTGCCGGTTCGATTCCCGGTCAGGGCGCACGCCCAGGCTGTGGGCCTGATTCCCAGTGGGAGGCGTGCAGGAGGCGGCCAGTCAATGGTCTCTCTCATTGATGTTTCTCTCTCTCGGTCCTTCTCCATTTCTTTCTCTCTAAAATCAATAAAGAAAAAAAAAAGTTCAGAGAACAGTGAGGTGGGAGGAGGATGCTGACACTGAACGGCAGAGACTGGGAAGCAGCAGCGTTTGTCTTCTCAGAAAGGGGAGCTGAGCTGTGCGGGGAGCAGACAGCACTGCCGACGTGCTAAGGCTGCTACGGCTGGACAGCGCGGGCCAACGAGAAGCAGAGCGGGTCTCAGACTGGACTGGGGGCCTCCTCATTGCCAGGGGAGGTAGGGGAGGAAACTGGCAGGAAGAGAGGGCTGTCTCAGAAACTACCAGGGAGCCATATTCAGCTCTACTCCATCCTTTACCTAGTTCTTTCTAAGCAGGTGTGGGTGTCTTGAAGAATAATTCACTCATTATTATTTAAATAAACTGAAGATACTCTCTAGAAAAATGGGCATTAATTTAGTTCATCAAAAGCTTGAAATATTCTCTGGACAACTAAATTAGAATGGTCTCATTATGTCCCAGGCCCTCCCCCGTTATTTCAAATGTGACCTTGAGCAAATCCCATCCCCTTTTCAAGTTCCACTGGTCAAACGTGGTACGTCTGTGGTGAAACACATAGACATGGTAGCTACTGATTTGAAGCTCGGCTTCACCACTTATTGGTTATGAGAACTTGGGAAAAAATTAACTTCTCCTCTCAGGGTAATGTAGGCTTTTCAGTCTGTACAGTCTGTATTGTGACTCTCTTGTCACTGTGTGAAAGTGATCATAGATGATACATGAACTGTGGCCCAGTGAAACTTTATATACAGAAACAGGCGGCTGGTCAGGTTAGACCTATGCCATAGTTTATTAACCCCTCATCTATAGGACAGATATAATAGCACTTACCTTAAAGGTTGCTGTAAGAATTAAATTGGTTACTACCTGTTTATTTCTTGGTACAAATTATACACTCAATAAATGGAAGCTGCCATTATTATTTCTAAGGGTATTCCAACTTAGTCTTGACCATGGATCTATGGCCCTAAGACTTTCTGGATGGCAACACATCCAGCTGAAAGAACTCTGCGTGGAGACCCATGTTTGAGGGAAGCAGGAAACAGGTCCCCGCTCCAGAGCTCCTGACCCTGAGGGTTCCATGTCACGAGGGCGAACTCATGTTATCCCAGTGTGCGGATGATCTTGTTTCAAAACAACACATTGTACTTTGTAAAATGACAATATGTACATTGAACTTTTAACTGCGGTGCGTGTTTTTCTTTAGCGTGGTGGTACCTAGTCTACGTAACGTTTTAACATCTAAAGACACCCATTTCAGGTTGAAGCCACCTGTTCAGAGTTGAAAAGCCTAGACACTCTTTTACTATATGATCTTAACACAAACTGGAGATAAAGGTCATTACCCTAAAGCCCCGACCAAAAAACTACGCTGCACAATGTTTTATGTTTACATTATTCTTAGGAGTTTATTTGGGGTAATAAATGAGGGCTGATGACCACCTTCTACACAGCAGTTTGGAAAACAATGACAAGTGGTGACTAGTGATTTGTTCCTACCCCCCCCCCCCCCAATCATAATCTCTTCCAAATTCTTGGGCCTACTGGGTAAAATAAAATATTTTGCATTCCATGTAACCGAGGTTTAATGCATGTACTATGCCAACCTGTTCAGGAAAAAGCAGTAATAGAAGTTGACATTAGGTAAAATATATTTATTTTTTTGGTTTCTAAATTAAATATTCGCATTAGCTACTGTTAATAAATTGTTCTATCTTTAAAATATATAAAACATCAAAAAGTCAGTATTTTATTTTGATACTTATAGTGGTAAATGATAATAGTAGAAATACTTTTCACTGGAAAGATGAGAAAGAGCGAGACAATAAGACGCTTTGGCATTTACTCTGAAATGGTGTGTTGTAGGCACAGCTGATCTATCTGTCCACATGAAAGCTGTCAGAAGGGGCAGAGAGGCAAAGCATCGCTATACGCTCATCTGATGGATGGTCATGAGGATGTCACACAGGAAATGAGGAGTGGGAGGGGCCCGTTGTTTCAACCATGGAAGGTGCTGGTACCATGCAGCAGGATTTTAGGTTGATGACGTTCATGTTTTGGCAAAAATAATGATAGTCAGGTAATAAGGCACTCACATTAAGACAAATAATTATCATTTAATAATCTAATAATCTATGTTTTTTTAACTATTCTTTAACAATGGTCAACATACTGCCCTGGCTGGTGTGGCTCAGTTGGTTGGGTGTCGACCCATGTACATAAAGGTTGCTGGTTCAATTCTCTTTCAGGGCAGGTTGTGGGCTTGATCCCTGGTAGGGGCATGCAGGAGGCAGCTGATGGATGTTTCTCTCACACATTGATGTTTCTCTCTCTCCTTCTCCCTTCCTCTTTCTCTAAAAAAAAAAAAAATATTTAAAAAAATAATCAACATATTAATAACATTTTTTAAATCCTCACCTGAGGATATTTTCCCATTTATTTTCAGATAGAGTGGGAGGAGGGAAGGGAGGGAGGGGAAGAGAGAGAGAAAGAGAGAGAGAGAGAAGGAGAGAGAGAGAGAGAGAGAGAGAAAGAGAGAGAGAGAGAGGCATCAGTGTGAGAGAGATACATCAACTGGCTGCCTCCTGCATGACCCTGACCCCCTGACCCAGGCCAGGGATGAACCACAACCTAGGCAGGTGCCCTTGGCCCTGAGACTCGGTCCGTGGGCCAATGCTCTGACCGCTAAGCCAAACCAGCTAGGGCAATATAGTAATAACATTTTAATTGTTATTTACCTTTAGTATCTATTTGTATATTACAATATTTTATATAGATACTAAAAGTTTTCCAATGGCCATATGTGTGCTCTTACTGATTCCTGTTGAATCTATGTGATTATGCATGCCCATAAGCTTTCAGAATCTTAACTGATAAAACACAACCCATGACATTTTTAAGCTGTTGACATTTTGCATGGATGTAACAAATGAGTTGCAATTTCCTATTAATAGTTATGTTGACATACAAATTGTACATCCACACAGTTTTTGCACACAGTAGTGTGGACCTGTGTTTTGTCACTGAGAACCTGGCTGGGAGTGAAGTCTGGAACTTCAGGGACAAGTGGGCAGCAGGAGCCATGCAGAAGCCGGTGTCCGCTGCCCGCCTGCCAGTCACCCTGCACCTGGCAAAATCGTTCCCAGGCAGGGAACAAGGCCTGGGTCTCTTGCCAATTAGATCTCTGCTCTGTGCTTGGACTAAATCCAGACACGACGCTGACAGGCTCCTCCCCTGCAAGGCAGCAGCCTGCATTTGATTTCACAGATGTCCCTGGAAATCTATGACCGAGTGTTAAGGGTGTGTGTGAATGGGGGTTAAAATCTGATTTGATATTGACACAGGTTTAGTAAAAAAGAAAAAATATCTGTCACTAAGCCACGGCTGTGGAACCATTGTAGAAAAATTTATTAGGGGGACAGAGATGACCTCTTCTGCAGCATTGGGGAGGTCCCGCCGCATCACTGGAGTCCCCTGGCACGGGGGGGTGGGGTGGATGGGTGCGTACGTCATTTTTTTCTAGGTAGCAAAGTGGAGGCTACAGGAATGAAGAAATGAGAAGGTTAAAAAAGTCATGGGAGGTTGAAATGTACTTTGCTCTGTAATCCAAAAGGGGTCATTAGATTATCCACGGCTATGGGTTCATTGCCTGGGGGATTTAACTGCCACGAGAGCACAGGAAGAAAACGATTTTCATTTAATTAATTAATTAATTCATTCATTCATTCATTTTATTTCATTCTGACCCGAGAATATTTTTCCATTAATTTATTTTAGATAGAGTGAAAGGGAAGGAGAGGGAAGAGAGAGAGAAATATCGATGTGAGAGAAACACACTGATTGGTTGCCTCCAGCACAACCCCAACCAGGTACATGCCCTTGACCAGGAATCAAACCCATGACCCTTCAGTCTGCAGGCTGATACTCTGACCACTGAGCCAAAGCGGCCAGGGCAGAAAATTATTTTTAAATAACCCATCTCAGGGAGGTAGAATTTCCTCCCCTAAAACTGTATTGTCTTTGCCTCTCTGCCAAGTTAACAGAATACAACCATACTTAGGTTTCACTCAGTTACCCACAGCCTGTGTTCTTAAAAATCAGTTGTAGAAATGGTAACTGTCCACATCCCCTTGGGAAACACACCCCCTAGGCAATATGTATGGTTTAGTTGGCGACGTGAAATCCTGGGGGCTGAACTCTGGACAGGTCTGCAAGAAGGCCTGGCCTGGCCTCCAGCCATGCCCAGGGCCAGGGCAGAGGTCCCCCTGGGGAGACAAGGCCTGGCACCCCAGGCCCACAGGACTGGTCCCTGAATGCAGACCCCGAGGACCCGAGGTGGGAAGGCGGCACTCACCAGGAGCGCCTCCCGAGGCCACTGCCCCTCCCTGTCCCCGTGGGACACGTGGCCACCTGCTCCATGGATGGGCTCAGATGGCACACCACCAGGAAAGACTTCAACAGCCCAGTTCCCTTTCCAATGCCTAGATAAAATAGATATGTAATAAAACCTACTAAAACCCATTTATTGTTTGTTTCTCTGCAGCAGAGGCCTCTCCTTCTGGGTGTGCGGGGTGGGGAAGACATCCACAGCGGGCTTCCTGCCCTGCAGCCCTGTGCGGGGCCATGATCTCCCGTCGCCCGCCGGGACTGCAGTGCAGACAAGGCCCTGCAGTGGGGTGTGCTGCTCCCCTGAGCAAGTGCTCGGTGCGTTTCAGATGGCTCCTCAAACCAGCAACACCTCCTAGTTCTCAGGAAGGGTAACAGAAGAGTTTGGACATAGCAGAAAAATGCAGCCATGCTTCAAGCCCCCAAAAAACACAAAACAAAACAAACAAAAAACATCCCTAAAAGTAACCGTCGTCCTGGCTTTCTTGTCTTTGCTTCCTCTTGCGGATCTGTCGCTGGAGCTGCAACTTGCTGGTGAAGAACATCTGTCTCCACCCCATCTCCTTGGCCAGGGCCCGCAGGTCAGGGGTGACGTCACAGGCAGACTCGACTATCAGCTCCCACAGTCTGTCAGACCTGCACAGCTATGAGGGGAAAAGTCAGAAGTGGGTCACGTCACATGTGGGGTAAGTGCAGGTCGTGCACTCACTCACGGGCTCCCTACCCAAGTCCTGCTGCCTGGGAGACTCGGGAGGAAACGCTGTGGACAGGGGGTGTGCCAGGCACAGCTCCTGCCTCCGGAAACCTCCTCTCGGAGGAAAGAGGCAGGCGCACAGATATCTGAAGGACAAAGCAATATGCGATCGATGGGATAAATCCTGATCTCATTTAAGATGCAGAATGCAAAGCAGTTCTATATAATCCACACGCAACATTATTTAGTTCATTTCCAATGAGCCACATAGCAGAGGCTGATAATGATGTGGTCAACCAACCTGCCACCCAGTGCGGCATTCGCTTCTCAAGTGGGAGCAGCTGATTCCTGCTAAATGCGTGTCCATTCTAAGTCCTCGCTCGGGCCATCTCTCCCCAGGGCTTGCACGGCTGACAGCTCAGTCCCCTGCAGGCTACTCATCCAAATGACCAGCAGCCCTTGGAGACTGCCAGAGGACACATGGAAACCCCACCCCTTCCTGGTGCCACAGACCTTCACGTGCATGACGTTGCCCCATGCACCAGGGTGGCCCACCCGGCGTCTGCAAAGCGAGTGTTCTCCAGGAACAACTTTCTCTGAGATGCTCTTCTGCAGCCCGTGGCTTTAACCGGGGCCATGAGATTAGAGACAGACAAGACCTCTCTGGCTCAACAGCTGCACAAGGCCATTCTGCCCTCCTTCCAAGTTTTAAGCTGCCACAATTCAGCTTCCATTTACCCAAGATTCCAGCAGGACTTTTTCAAGTGGCACCATTACTTACAGCAACTCCGTTCATCAGTCCCCTGCTCCTACACACTGTTAACATGGAGGTTTCCTGATACCGTACCTACCACACACCCAAATCCTTCCTGTAGGTGGAGTCCGTTATACTTACTTAGCCCTGACCTTTGCAATAGCCACGGTTGTGTGGTATATGCAAGAACAGTAACCTTTATTCATTTATTTGTTTGTTTGTTTGTTAATCCTTACCTGAGGATATTTTTCCATAGTTTTTTTTTGTTTGTTTTTTGTTTTTAAGAGAGAGTGGGAGGGAGGGAGGGAGGGAGGGAGGGAGGGAGGGAGGGAGGGAGGGAGAGAGAAACATGGATGTGAGAGAGACACATGGATTGGTTACCTCCCTCGAGACCCTGACCAGGGCTGGGGAAACCTGCAACCCAGGTGCATGCCCTTGACCAGAATCAGACCAGGAACCCTCAGTCCCCGGGCCGACAGTCTCACCACCGAGCCAGTCCTGCCAGGGCAAGAACAGCAGCCTGGACAGGCAGGTGGGTATCTGGTGCTGCAGAGCAGCAACTCCAGCAACACAAGATGTGCTTTAAGGAGGGGTCCAGTGGGCCCCAGCGACAGACTTCCCGGCTCCACCCTTTCTGTGCAGTACTGCACTGGGGGTTATCACCAACCGATCCCCCCTCACCAGTTCAGGCAGTGGCTGACACGTGAAATTCCAGCAGTGGGATGAGCCAGGCCTGGTGGCGGGCAGGGAGGAGCCCAGTCCCCTTCGGCCAGTGGCCCAGGGCACGCTGGCCCAGGCCCCTCCTCAGGGCTCACGCCCCTCTCACACAGGCCCATCCACAGGCACTGCCACACGGACGTCTCTTCCAAAGAGGCAAAGAAAGGCAAGCAGCTGGGGCCACTCAAAGGTCAGTACTGGTGGGAAACAAGGCTAGTCATGGAAAATGACCAGTGCAGATCATGCACACAGAATGAATAATAGCCCTGGCCGGTTTGGCTCAACGGTTGGAGCGTCGGCCTGTGGTACAGAGAGACCCGGGTTCGGTTCCCACTAAGGGCATGTACCTCGGTTGCAGTTTGTCCCCGGCCCTGGTTGGTCATGCGGGTGGCAGCCACTCGATGTGTCCCTTCACATCGATGTTTCTCTCTCTCTCTCTTCCTCTCTCTCCCTCCCGCTCTATCTGAACAAAAAATGGAAAAATGTCCTTGGGTGAGGATTAAAAAAAAAAAAAAAAGAATGAATAATAAAGAGAGTCCACCTGATCGACAGGATAAAAATTAGATTGAACTCGTTATTTTCACCATCTAAAATTTCTTTTTAGAGGGCAACTTCATCACTTTAATAGGGGAGGCAGACAGGCATGGTAAAACCCCCCAGATTCCAGAACGCCGAATCTGACTGTGCTCATTTAGAAAGGTGTCAGGGTCCGCAGGATCTGAACCTCTAGAAACATAGGCGCATAATGACAAGGAGGAGAGAGGCCCCAGGACGGCCGACACAGCTGTCAGGAACCAATGTGCTGACAGGCATGCACTGGACTCTGCAGGGAAGGCCTCCACTCTCCTCCTTGGAGTTCATTTAGTTTAGTGTACTGCTTTCAGCCCTTAGTAGCTTAGCCCCAGCTAATTAGAAGGCAGAGTAGCCAAGGAAGAGAAAAATGACAGGTGAGGAACTAACATTAAGGGGAAAAATGGAAAAGAAGAGTGAAATACAAATGAAAATCACTCAGTTGGGGCCAGATAAGCTGCTTCACAATTTTCAATAGCCTCTTCATTCATTCACTCATTCATTCATTCATGCACCAAAACTACATGGGATGGCTATGGTCCTGGTCAGGGCTCTCGGTGTCAGACCACAGAATGCATTCTAGGTTGTCGAGCAGAATGGGAGCCAGCAGAGGCAACAGGTAGCTCACAGAGAATCTCGTGAAACCAGAAAGGCGCAGTGCTGCACAGCCGGGCTCAACAGCGCCCAGAATGAAACAACAAAACACAACACCCAGATTGTTTTAGTAGGGAACTCACTGCTTCTGCTCTCCAACAGTTGGCACCCAGGATGTGCTGAGGCCTTGGTCCAGACACCAGAACCTTCCCCATGTGCTCCCAGCACTGAGCTTGCAGGAGGAGCTGGTCTCCATGTGCACGGAGGCTGCCTCACCTTGCTCATGTCTCCCTCCCAAGACTCCTTCTTCCAAGCAGGTGGGTCTACTTGACAGAGACGAAGCTATACACCACACACTAGTTGCAGAGGCGCATTTACTCTTTCTAACCTCTGCACTACATGAAGGCAACTCCATCTGGCATAAGGGAGTTAAATGGGTGGTGAGCAAACCAATCCACAGCATCCACTCAGTCTGACCTGGCTATTCTCATCTACACAGACACTCCCTCTGTCCTGCTTTGCTCCCTCGGACCCTAACCGCTTCGTGGGGAGGGGAAAGACGTGTAAGCGTTCTCTCCATTCCATGACTCCATGAACTCCTCTCCAAGGAGAAAGCAGTCAGCACTCTACTTCCAGATTTCACGCTACTGTACAAGGGCTCTAACAAGGGGAAAGAATGTTTATAAACAGAAACAAATAGTATAATGAAGCTAAAACAATTAAGATTCTTCCTGTATAAACATCAGAGCAAACTATTATATTCACACAGTGGTCCCTGTTGAACAGCAACACTGAGTCTTAGGAAATGACAGTCTCCAAAACATCTTCATGTCAGGCAGGTTGCTCATGCTCTTATCCCGTCCTCAACAGCCACTCAAGGTCTAGTTCCTCTACTCGGATTACAACATATTTTAAATATAAACAACAAAGGGAAAAGTTAGAAAGTGTCTTAATGTTAAAAACAAACAGATCTCAACTTCCCTTAAGCGGTTTTAGCTGACTGGTGCAGATGGCTATCCCGTTTCTAGTAAATACATCGCAGGATATCATGTGTCTTGTATAAAGGGATTATGGGAACGATAATCTCCTAAGTTTTTGAGAACTAAATTAAATACAGAGAAAACGATGAAGTTCTGGGAGAAGGGAAAGCATTCTCAAGAGAGCTGAAATTTCTACCAGTGTAACTTTATGACTCATTTTATACTGAAAATATTTAGTTTTGTTTTATATTATAAGTTGGTCATAAAATACCCCCATCTAAGACTCCCACACCCTGGGGCTTTCTTTGCTTGGTCGATGCCAGGTACCAAAACATAAGGTACTTACCCATCCTGACTATGGTTCCAGTTACTTTGATTCCAAACACAGCAAATTGTGGGCTTAGCGCCCCCTGGTGGTGGTGCATGAACTTAACATGCATAAGCTATCTTAAAGGTTGAAAGGGACCCCAGGGTTTATCTAGTTAAAACCTCTCCTTGTGTAAATGGGGAAATTAAGGCTCAGAGAGGATAAGGACATAGCTACCCAAGGCTCATGGTGGGGAATGGCTGAGCTAAGAACAGAACCCAGCTCTCTGGCCTCCTGCTGACTTAAACACCCACGTTGGCCTGTACACAGTAAAGATAGGAAAACCCCTCTCCCCACCTTTTCGAATCTCTTGAGATAGTTTATCCATACAACGTTAACATCAATGGCTCAAATTCCTGGATGGGACCCTCGGACTCGGGCTGCTGCAAACACAAGGAAACCCGTTGGGAGCTCATGCTGAGTCCATGGCAGCCCTGCGGAATCAGGTGCTCAGGGCTGGGCCTGGTGGTGCCAACTTCACCTGTTCCCGAGTGCTTCTCCCACCTGGCCAGACTTGGGAACATGGTCACAGGGCGTGAGGAAAAATCTGTGTCTCCATAGCCAAAGCGTGGCAGAGGAGAAAGTCCTTCCTTAGCGTTCCTGAGTCAGACAATGACTGTCCTCCCGTCTGGGCTCGGCCTTCTCATCTAGCTGCAGTGGGGGCTTCCCAGGGTCCACTCTGCTGCACTTTGCACAAAAAAACATAGTATCAATGCCTGGTGCCACCTGGCGCCGGCCAGCAGGTCCCCAGGCCAGTTCCCACGGGCAGCATCAGCTTAGTGAGCTACCGCAGGGGTGTGCTCCTCAGCCACGCTCCCAGCGGATGCCTCGCCGGTGTTTACCCTGAGACATAGAAACTGCCAGCCCACAGGCCTTCAGGTGCTTGTCCATGGAGGCTCTGTGGCTCGGTCAACACAGAGTCAGAGCAAGGCCCGCAGCTGGATGGTCCTGATGGCTGATGGCATTCG